AAGTTTACATGATTCAGATAAACTTTAAAGCTGTTCATAATAACATTCCATCAAAGACTATAAAACYCAAACAAAATGTTCCTTGGATTACAACTGAAATTCGAAAATTATTCAATAAAGAAGAAAGAAAGAAATCTAAATCCACCCAGTTTGAAAGTGACTGGAACAAGTATAAAATGATTTGGAATTAAGTGAAATCTGAACTGAATAAAAGCTACTACAGGTATGTCAACTCACTAGTTTTTGGTCATTCATAAAATCCAAAACAAAGAATAAAGCCATCCCTTTGACCATAAAATGGGATGAGCGTGACGTTATAGCATCGTCAGGCAAAGAAAAAGCTGAACTATTTAATAACTTTTTTGCGTCAACATTCTCCACTAATTCTGACTCGAGTATTGATGCCCAACCGCTTAACACTGATGACATCATTGCAGATCTTGCGTGCTCTAGTGCAAACGTTGAGAAATTATTACTTGGACTGAATACTAATAAAGCTACTGGCCCTGATGGTGTAACAGCACGATTGCTTCGTGAGGCGGCTCCTTCAATTTCGACCTCACTTTTATGCCTGTTCAACATGTCTCTCAACAGAGGAAAGTTACCATGCGACTGGAAGCGTGCTAATATTACTCCAGTGTTTAAAAAAGGTGAGAAGGAACTTGTCACTAATTATCGACCAATTTYTCTCACTTCTCTGGTTGTGAAGACCCTAAAAAATCTTGTTGTTAACCACATCCTTTCGTATCTCGAGGATCGCATTCTGCTTAGTCAACATCAGTATGGGTTCCGAGTTGGCCTTTCATGTACATCCCAACTTATTCACTTATTCCACACATGGGCGTCAGCTCTGGATAAGGGCAGAACATCAGATGTTGTCTGTTTGGATTTTGAGAAAGCTTTTGACTCTGTTCCGCATGTTCATCTCATTTCAAAGCTAAAGCAGTTTGGGATTCGTGGTCAAATTCTTGAATGGCTGAGTGACTTCTTACATGAACAATATCAAYGTGTTGTATTGGAGGGTGAAAGTTCGAACTGGACTAAGGTTTCGTCTGTAGTGCCTCAGGGAAGTATTGTAGGACCGATGCTGTTTTTGTTGTACGTAAATGATATACCARAGAATCTATCATGTGCCAGTGAAATGTTTGCCGACGACACACTATTATTCAACTCTAGCAAACCATCTGATGTCTCCCACCCTATCCAAGAAAGTTTATCGCGTATCTCTGCTTAGTGCAACAAATGGCTTTTGGCAATTAATGCCGAGAAATGCGAATGTATGCGAATCACCAGAGCTAAAACACCAACATCTTGCTCCTACAACATAAACTCGATATCACTGTTAAGTTCATCAAGTTCATACCCATAAACGCCTTGGAGTCACACTACCATCTGATTTATCTTGGAAAACACATGTACTAACAGTTGCTGCTAAAGCGAGCAAAATTCTTGGTGTATTGAAGCGTACTTTTGGGAAATGTTCGGAGGCAATGATAACTGGTTATAAATCTATGGTTCGTCCAATCATTGAGTATGCGTGCCCTGTATGGAATCCACACCAACAATACCTATCTGATAAACTTGAAAGAATTCAAAGGAATGTCTCAAGATGGATTTTAGGTAGTTCCATTGAGTACAATGAACGTTTGAAATACCTAGGATGGCCAAGTCTTCACTTTCTTAGCTTAGTTCAATTATTTAAGTTTATAAATGGCTTTTCTAAAGTCAAATTACAAGATTACTTAGTATTTTCTAAAGGTCGTACTAGGTCTACTCATGACCACAAAATTTGGACACCA